GCACAGAAACAGTACTATATAACATTTTAGACACATTCTAGACAGTTTATCAGCTAAAAAAAGTTAATTTTGGGGTAAGTTACTCTTTAATTGATGTGATCTATCCTTCTGTCTTACAAAATATTCCATAAATTCCATCATTTAGTTTTACATTTGCAAATGTCAGGGTTCCTTACAAACCATGCTGCGCTGTGATGCTTTAAACCCAGACAAAAGCTGAGAACACAAGACTCCTAGAGGCTCTCGTTTAAAGTGGCCAACGTATCCACATCCAGAGCTTATTAGAAAAGCTTTGATAGAAGCTGAGTAAACACAAACACACAGCCTGAAGCAGCGAGTATTTCCACAACAGAAACCCGGACCCCTCTCCAGCCTACAGCTCTTGTTTCTTAGCAACCCACCAAATAAGTAACACAACCACAAAAAAAAACATCAAAACTCTTTCATATTTTTGAGTTATGTGTTTTAAACTAATAAAAAAAAAATGTCTCAAAAAATAAACTTTAAAATGTGTTTGTGCTTTTGGAGAAAACCTTCCAGCTGATAAAAGCTGTCTCACAAAAAAATATCAGTTTTATTTAAGCAGGACAACACACACACATACAAAAAAAACCTGTTTGCCTCGTCTAACTGACAACCTGTGGTATTGTTGGACGTCAGACGAGTGTGGAGAAACATGATGTCATATGCAAACAGATCATGCTCACCTGCTGCCTGCGTGTTCGACCCACAGACACGCCTTCATCTTGAGGGGAAGTCTGGGGCAAAAATAAGCGCAGCTCCCTTCATATGATCCAGATTCTGTCTATAGATGGCTGTATTTACTTTGCATGAAAGAGTGAAAGGGAGAAGTAATATATAAGAGGCTGTGTTTACATTCACAATATTTGCACAGTTCCAGTAGTTCCAAGGCTTTTTGCCGTATTGTACGGAAGCGTGGGAACAGAGTCTTTAAATGTCCCGATTAAACGGGTCAGTCACTGAGAGGAGTCTCCTGTGGAATCAAACAGCACCGCGGTAAATCTAGGCAGGGCTGAATACTTTAATGTCTGTCTCTGAGAAAGAGCTGCTGAGTCACACAGCTTTTTGTGTCTCCTCCATTTATCTCATCTTTCGCTCCATCCCTCCTGTTCAGTGTGGTTTTTATTTTTATTTTGTTTTGTTTCCTTCCTTCTCTTGTGATTGCCCCCCCCCCCCCCCGGTATTTTTGTTTGCTCTTTAAATATCCTCTGCTCCCCACTTCCTTTATTCTTCACATTGGAGCAAATTCCTGAATACTTGTTGTGTTAGTTTGTGTAAACATAGAAACAAAGTCACTCTCACCGGGATATCCGTGAGACCCAGAAGGTCAGAAAGTGTAGCGTCACAGAGTTTCCTGTTGGTGGCGATTCACTGTGAGACAGTCAATCAGTGTCTTTGGTGCTGTGTTTTTTTACTGCCAAGACTGGAGTGGCTATTGTGCTCAGTAATTTCCCTGCTGTTGGCTTCTGCTGATATTTGCACGCTGCCTCCATGTGGCTGATTTAAGTATTACCAAATGCTTTAAGATCAGATAGTTTGAGCTTCTTCTTCTTCTTCTTCTTCTTTTTCTTTTTTTTTTTTGGTCAGCTTTCAGTCTTCCCATCTGTCTTCCTATTAATGGTTAAAGCAAAGATGAGCTTTATATTTTGCTAGTTATTTGGGACCTTCCTGTGGAACAGGAAATCATGGCCTGAACTCCTGGAGCATTACGTTTTCTCTTCTCACCGTGGATATGTTTGTCTTTAGAGGAAGTCGACATGGCTCATTGAGAGCTGATGATGTTACGTGAACAAAACTGCTTTAATATTCCAAGTTGTGCAGAATACAGTTGGAGTGCAGCCGTTACCCATATCTTTAGAAATGGTTTCAGTTTTTAAGCCATCTTCTTCCAGCCACTCTTCTTTTTTGACAACTTTCATATTCTCCGTTATCACTACAAATTAAAATAACCATAATTTTAATTTGCATTTGGATACCTGAAGCAAAAATCAAACAATGTGGATTTTTATTTAGTTCAATTTTACACTTTTACATTGAGGTTTAAAAACAAAAAGACAAGGAGAGGATGCCTCCTGGACACCTCCCTAGGGAGGTGCTTCAGGTATGTCCAACTGGGAGGAGACCCCGAGGAAGACCCAGGACACGCTGGAGATACTATGTCTCTCGGCTGGTTTGGGAACGCCTTGGATTCCTCCCAGAAGAGCTGGAAGAGGTGGCTGGGGAAAGAGAGGTCTGGACTTCCCTGCTCAAGCTGCTGCCCCTCTGAGCTGACTTTGGATAAGAAGATAATGAATGGATGGATGTGAAGAAATTATTGGGGTTTAGGTTATATACTGATTTTAATTACATTACACATGGTATAGTCTTATGATAGAACTGTAAAGATTGTTAAATGGGACTGTTTTGCTTAACTTGATGATTTTATATTAATAGCTACATGCCTGAAAACAAATTCAACACATAAATGAACTTTTAAATCTTCATTAGAATAGATTATAATGTCTGGGGGCATGGCTTTGAGAAGTGTAGGCACTCCCCTTACTGAAGACGTAATCAAACAGGCGGAGCCATGCCTCGGAGCCTTCGTTAAAAACAAATGCAATTCCTTGTTTTCGGTCTGAACACTTGGTCATTGATTAAACAAGTCTTCAGCAGAGTGCTCTCTCTCTGGTTTTTATGATTTCTCTTTAATAATCTTTTCCATGCATTTGTACATTCTCCGTACTTTTTAAGCACATATAATGGTAAATGAGCACGCATAACAATATTTTCTTTCAGATGGATGGAACAAAAAGACAACATGGCTGTTGTTGTTTTTTTTTTTGTGATTTTATTTCAAAAATGAAAAACCAAAGAACAAACCATACACAGATTGAAAAGAAATACACCAGTTTTTAAATCTCTTTTAGGTTTAATAAAAAGTATTCTATGAAAAGTAATTTCCCTTTTTATTTTTTATTTAAATATTCATTCAAGGAGGAACATATGCATGTATTTTTTAATGGTCTTGATTAATATTCCTCCAAGCTTTCTGAATGGTTTCAAAGTTTTATCTGAACATTACTTTTTTAGTCCAGTATTAGTTTTAGAATTTAATTTTTGTTGTTGCTTCTCAATTGTGACCTGTAAAATATTTAAATAATGAAATGCTTCTTTAAACTACTTTTCTGTTATCCTTTATTTATTCTTGTTTTTTAATCTTTAGCTTAAAGGGCACGGTAGCTCGGTTGGTAGAACTGATGCCTCTCAGCAAGAAGGTCGCCAGTTCAAGTCCCAGCCCGGGGACCTTTCTGGGTAGAGTTTTCATGTTCTCTCCATGCATGCGTGGCTTCTCTCCGGGTACTCTGGCTTCCTCCCACAGACCAAAAACATGACTGTTTGGGCACCAGTGACCCACGCAACCCTGAAAGGAATAAGCATATACAGAAAATGGATGGATGGATGGATAGCTTAAAAAACTGTTGTTATGGTCAGGTGCAAAGACCGTACTAAAAATAAGTTCAAAAAAAGCCATCAGAAAATGTGAGGACATGTTGATCAAGACCATTTTTAAGGACTACAATGTATTAAAACTCTCATTTAGAGTTTTAGGCTGCATCATTAAACCATTCTTGGTCATTTTTATGAAAGTACATAAAATTTATCCATTCCTGCTTAAAGAGAGTCAGGTGAGAGCTACTGCAGGTCACACAGTTTCCACTTTATCGCAAATTCACTCTGAAGTTATATTTGTCGCAGAACAAAGTAATTGTTGGAGAATTAAATTTCAAACACTGACTCTGTTTGTGTAGGCTCCTGGATAAAGAGCAGTTTGGGTCACGTCCAGAAGGAGGGAAACCAGCTCGTTCTGACCTACATCGCTTTCCAGCTGGGGTACTGGGTGGCCGCCGTGTCCCCCCTGCACTCAGGTGGGAAACTAAAACTATACTGAAGATGCCCTGGTTTACAACATTAAAACCATTTATTGTTCTTTTTTCCTTGCCTTTATGAATCGTTGGTGTTTCCTACAGGCCCGATGGTTGCAAGGGACTTCAGCACATACCACACTGTATTTCTGCTGGCCATACTTGGAGGGATGGCTCTCATTCTGCTCTGCCTGCTGTGCCTCCTGATGTACTACTGCCGGTGTGTGAAACTGGTTTACTGCAGCAATATGTCCCACCAGAAGTTTCCCTTTTAAAGTGTATCTTACCCGCCTGTGAAAAGATAACTTCGCCCCAAGGCGAATTTTTAAAAAATGCATCGAAGTGGGTAGGGGAGGGGGTGTGGGAGAGCGGAGGTGTGGCCAGGACGAGAGAACGCAACAGCTAGCATTAGCATAATTGATGCTACATGGAGAGTGACCACAGTATCGCATATAGTTACATCTCTGAACGGTCTGAGGTGGAGGATTTTTCACCCCCTCCTCACCAGAAGCAGAGAGAGACTTGATCAAGTCAGCTCAGTCTGGGACTGACTCGTGTTGTCTCCCTGGATCAGGACACGGTGCGCTTTACCGCAGCCTCGGCTGGGCTCTGTCCGCCTCACACCACACCAGCCCCGGACAGCAGAGCTGCTGTGCCCCGACAGCCTGAACGAAAAAAATAAAAGTATGCAGCTGCTGACAAGATCGCTAGTTTAAAACAGGAATAAAAGTGTTTGGTCTTGTTTGACTGAAGTTTGGTCCGGTTGGAGCTGTTTCTTGATGCTCTCTCTCTCTCTCCTCTCTCTCTCTCTCTCTCTCTCTCTCTCTCTCTCTCTCTCGCTCTCTCTCGCTCTCTCTCTCTCTCGCTCTCAGAGAGAGCGCTCTACCCATATGAGCAGCAAAAACACATTTTTAGACCAAATATTACAGATTTGAGCAAATTCGCACAAAAACATCAAAATTAGCACAGAAACAGTACTACATAACATTTTAGACACATTCTAGGCAGTTTATCAGCTAAAAAAAGTTAATTTTCGGGTAAGTTACTCTTTAAGCTCTACAACGAGCAGTAAAAGGCAACATTTTGGTGACGCACCGTCGTACTAAGCTATGGACACACGACTGCACCTGATAATGAGTCACAGCTACATGATTTGTGAAACCAGTTAAAGCTAACAGAATGCATCAAACATGAAATTGTTTTTTGAAGTTATTATTTATTTTTTTGCTCTTGAGTTGTTGCTTAGTTTGTTTACTGTTATGGCAACTAAAGCAAGAATATGAAGGCTTTGTGAGGGATTAAATTGAATGTTATAACTTCGTCCAAATATTTCTGTTTCTGCCTCATATAAAGTTACTAAAACCAATAAATCAATTTCCCATTTACCTAAAAACTAACCATAATTACATAACTCAATCAAACTGGGTTAGAACACAAAAGCAGTGTGTGGTAAGACTCACTACACCAATTATAATTCCAACAAAGTTTTTTTTTTTTGCAAGATAAATTTTAAGAAGATTCTGTAAAGCTAAAATGATAAAATTATGTTCTTTTTTTGTGTTTTTGCATCAAACAGACGTCGTTGTTTGAAACCACGAGGGTCTCATCGCAAGCTCACACTATCTTCTGGTCTGGACAGCAGTAAGAGGGATCAAGCCACCTCCATGTCCCACGTGAACCTCATCAGCAATGAGGTCTGACACACTTACAGACAACAGCTAATAAATCTTACATTATGAAGAGATAGTATGGAGCTAAAC